ATACCAGGTTAATCTCAATTCCCTTTTCCTGATAACTTTTCATTGACTGTAATCTGTATAATCCCAAAAAAGAAGGAATTCGTGATCTAATTTCATATATATGTCTTCAGTTCATCGAAATTGGATACAGAAAGAAAGAATTTCGTTGGAGAAGGTGAGTTGGAGCATTTATCCAAACTTGTCGAAGAGAAAGATGGAGGTCCTTCTTGGATTGGTATGATGGAAAAATCGACCTCAAATATGTCCTATCAAGCTTGGAAGAGAGAGCCTGAGGTAATTCCAATTTCCAATTCATTAACTATGAAAAATCTATCGACTACTTTCATTTTTTGTTCTTATTAAAGTTCTATCCAATTATAGTATTGGATAACATTTATGAAGTATCAAGTATGATACTTTCATAAATAAATCAATAAAAGGACATTGCTATTTCTTGAATTGTCATACAACATTGAGAGTTTTACTTTACAATATATCTATTTATATCGAGTTAGTGACTAAAACTATTATTTTCTATAATTTTATAGATTGGACCTCCACAATATCGTTCAAGAAGTGTGTATGAAGATACTACTCCTGAATTAATGAGGGATTTCTTTTGGGATGATGAATTCCGATTAAAGTGGGATGACATGTTAATTGAAGCCGAAACATTGGAAGAATGTCAAGACAATGGAACAATGGTGGTTAAATGGGTTCGCAAGGTATATAAATTAAAAATAAAAATTTGATTAATTTAATAAATTCTATATTGTGGATTATTTTATAAACTTACATGCCTTAATTCGTTTTGCAGTTCCCCTTCTTTTGTAGCGATAGAGAATACATAATTGGGCGTAGAATTTGGGATTCAGAAAAAACGTATTATTGTGTTACAAAGGTAAGATATCTAAGATTATATATTTGTCACTTATTTATTATTAATGCTAGCATAGGAAGAAACGAAAGTAAAAGGTGCTATAATAAACAAATACATGAAAATACATTGCTATTTCTTTCATTTAACAAATTTCATTAATACGATTTTATATAATTACTTAGAATTCAATGAAACGTATTTCAGGGCGTACAATACCCCTCCGTGCCACGCCGTACTAAACCACGACGTGTTGACTTGTACTATTCAAGTTGGATAATTCGTGCAGGTAATAAAACCACCAAATTTACTAAATTACCCCTAGGGTTTATCCTAGTTTGTTCCGAGGTGGTATACTTTTAGAAGTGATCAAGGGTTAAGGTTAAAGTCTGAGCAGACACATAATTCCAATGTGGATTTGGCTCCTTCTGAGCCCCACCTCGTGGGGCCTAACTAGGACAGGACAGTGTGGGCCCCACACTGTCTTGTACCAAAAGTTTGGTAAATCGTTCGAGTCTCAACAACAACACTAAAAGATTTTCAATTCCAACGTGAATTGAACTCGTTTTGGGCATTGTGACTTATGTCAGGCTAGTGTGGGCCAGCTCAGGGGTTGCTAGAATAACCTTTTTGCAGAAACTTGTATTAACTTATTTTTTTTGTGAGTGCAGTTGAATCAAGAAAAGGCGATGGACAAATGAGTGCATGTGAAGTACTACTTTTTCATCATGAAGACATGGGAATCCCATGGGAAATTGCAAAACTCGGTGTACGTCAAGGAATGTGGGGAGCAGTAAAAAAGATTGACCGAGGTTTACGGTGGTATCAAAAACACGTGTCATCGGGGGCCCCACTTTCTCATTGTGGATACATGGCCCACATCAATTCAAAAGTTAGCCAAGCCCATTTAAGATACTTGAACAACAACACAACAAACGATTCATCACAAGAAATCGAAAGATGTGAAGAATTAGTGAATGATGAGAAGCCATCGGGGAAGAATCTTGGAAAGATTTTGGTGGTAGGGGGTGCTATTGCACTTGCATGTAGTGTTGATAGGGGATTGTTGACAAAAGCTGTTATATTTGGAGTTGCAAGGAGATTTGCTAAAATGGGAAGAAGGTTGTGATGATTTTTTATATTAAAGCAAAGGGTTTATGAAAAGATTCTTGTGGGTGTTGCTAATTGCTTTTAGTATGGTGGTTTTCCAAGCATTGATAATTGGTTATTGCATGGAGGGGTGAGGGGTTGGGGTCTTGTTCTTACTTTGAATACAATTGTAATTTGTTTTTTTATGTTCATCTTTTGTTAGATTGATGTTGCAGCTTATGGTGATGATGAGAGAGTATAATGGTGTACATGTATTTATTTTGAAATATCGTTCTCTTGCTGCTGGAATAATAGGGAAATTCTGTTTTCTTGAGTTGGTTGTTTGATAGTTTGTGGTGGAGTGTGTGTATGTTTGAATGAGGCATGTGAAAACATGTTTTTCTTAAAACAGATTCAGTCTTGTTCTACTTTATGTGTACTTGGTGGCTGTATTTACATAGCAAAACCGTACAGTCGCCATTATGATGCATGATTGTCTTTAAATATACAAAGTGTAACGATCTTTAATCACACAAAATGCAACAGACAAATATGTTTAATTCTTTATGAACACAATTTCAAGTTTTCAACAACTCTTTTAGCACCATCATTTTCAGCACCACTCTTTGCTAATTAATCTCTCATTCACTAGATTTACATTTTTTGACATTCAATATACCAAAACAAATATATTGCTGAGAATAGGGGTGCCAATTTATCAGACGGCACGAAACGAAATCAGGACGAAATCAAAATTCGAATTCGTGTTCGTGTTCGTGTCAAGTTTAAAAAACACCATGTCGTGTCGTGTCGTGTCATGTCATGTTCGTGTTCACAAATCGACACGATTGAACATGTGTTTGTCGTTTTTATCGTGTTATATATGAATTAAATAAATTAATAGTTATGTAATGTTATCTTTGTCGTGTCTTGTTATCGTGTTTTAATTGGTTTGTTTTCGTGCTAGTGAAAAAAAACACGATACCGTGTCGTGTTTGTGACACACAAAATGAAAACATTGTCGTGTCGTGTCAGACAAAAACACAACACGACTGCCCAATTTGAGCCGAGAACATAAACCCTATTAATATCTTTCCATTTTGACCTTACACAAGGCATAATATTTATCAATGTTCTAAATAACGTAAGGCGTGACTTGGCGGCAATGTCAAGCCTCAAGCTTTTCCAAGCCTTGGCGAGCCACGTTGTTTGTAAGGCGTGACTTAAGGTGACAATTTTCTATATAATTAATATTTTTATATGTATTTTCAACTATTATTCTATTTTATACACATATATGAGTTAAAACGGCGTTTTAGCAAAGCTTGGCGGCAGACACAAGCCTTGGAGCCATAGCGCGTCATGACGAGCTTTTTAGAACCTTGATATTTATGTTCTAAAATGGGTAAATACTCATTTTCTAATGATCCCTAAATGAATGGAAATTTGATCAATAAAATTCAAACTATTGATATTAAGTGAAACAGTTGAACCTTATATAGGATAGGTATGCGTTACGATTTGAACCTTTATATATATACTTATCTTAGTAGCAGAATAGTAGATTTGATTCCCTTTAACTATTTTGCCGTTTGTGTAAACAATTAATATACAAATTGCCATCTAATTCATCATTTAAAACATTTTGTGGCATCATTGTGACTTCTAAAGCTTGAGACTCGACTTTGCCTTCACACCAGGCCTACCCGAAAAACGTGCCGTGTTTTGTCAGATTCGTGTCGTGTCGAAACAATAAATAAGTTGATAGATCTTGACCTTAAGCTATCACGTTTAATTATCATGTCATGTCATGTCAACCAGTTTGTTTTCGTGTTGAGTTCGTGTCGGGTTTTGAGATAAGTTTAGACCTTGAAATGTGGTGTGATATGTGAGGTTGAAACACTAAATATGTTGAAAGAATATGAGTTAAATAAAATGAAAAGAAAGAATAAAAATTAAATAAAAAAATGGAAAAAGTAGTAGTTATGAGTCAAAAAGACTAAATTCATAATACGTTTAAAGGGAAAAATAGAAAGAGTGGGAGTTGGGGAGGCGGAGGGGAGGAATCATGAGAAGGATGGACCGGTCAACGGGACTGTATAGTTTGACGTACTAGCTGAAAAGCTAGTTGTTAGCTGAAAAACTAACTATAATATGAAAAGCTAGCTGATAGCTAAAAAGCTAGCTGGTAAAACATAACGTTTAGTAAAAAGTGGCCGAAAAGCTAGCAGAAAAATATAAAATAACATAAAAGGGCATTTAAAAAATATGTTTTTTATAATTAATTAAGGGGTATATTTGGAAAATTTTCAAAAAGCTCCTGAAAAGCTAGTTCAAATAGTTTTTTAAAAAAATGACTTATAATCTAATTTATAAACTACTTTTTGGTCTGCCAAACATAACAACTTAAAAAAACTCGAAAAATAAGATAGTCTATCAACTAGTTGTGGCGCGCCAAACATAACCAAAGTTGTGTCGACGTTACAAAATGACTTGACCCAAAGTTTTTCTTCTACATATGATTTGGCTTTAGGCATTTTTAATTTATAAAAGGAATTAAAAAGTTTGCATAAAAAACAAGGGATCGTTTTCAAATCATAAACCTTTATCAGTTTAGTTTTTGTTGTAATGTCGTGTCAACCCGTTTAATTAAACTGATACAAATACTCTATCTAAACCCTGTTTATTTTGTCTCATATTAACGTTTCGTATCAGTTTTTGGCTTTGCCACCTCTATATGACATGTTGAAAATATTTTAAAAGTATATAGTTAGATGATACGAAGAGGCGTGAGAAAGCTACTATCTTTGACAAAGAGTGCTGGCCAGTGGCCCGGCAACTCGATTATCAAATTTAGAGTTTGGTCGGTAAGCCGTTTGAACTTTTGGTCCACTCGATGAGTCATACTCATCTTCTTCTAAAAGTGGAAACTGCAATGATTCAACCTTTTTTCTTGTATATAAACCTTTCCTCCAAATTCAAAATCCATACAACGTCTTCATATCTTTGAAAACATAAACAAATCGAGTCAATAACTTCATATTCATCATCAAACATGAATTCCATCTTCAGTTCCTTCGATGCTTTATCTGCCGAATTCATGTGCCAATCTTTTTCTTTCTTTAACACAAAGAACCCTGCTTCCACCATTCAAGATGATCAAAAGAAGGTGATGCATGAAACCAACAAGAACACAGATTGTCACCGGAGCAAGAGGGATTCCGGTGGTCGGTGGGCGCCGGAGTTGGATGGACTTCACTGCTTCGAGTCTCTAGTGTTTCATTAAGATTTGATCCTTTTTTCTTGAGGATCTAAACAAGTTTTGATTTATTTTATCTGGGTTTTTGAGAAAGATTTTTGATTAATTAATGTATACATGTTAAAGAATTGTATCATATTTAATTACTGATTACTGGTTGATATGAATAAAAATTTGTTTGTTCGAGTAGACCTACGATTGTTTGATGTCCACGTATTTAAAAACATTATCTCCGACTTTCATCAATTTAACTTTGGTTATCAATAATCTTTGATTGATTAACAGATTTTTAAATTGAGTATATCTTAATTAAATATATATTCATACCATCAAGTCGATTCTTATCACAATAATGGTCGTTTGCATGGTTTACAAGACTTAAGTTCTTGTAACATCTTCAACAACCATAAAAACGTTCCTAAAGAACAAGAAGAAGATGGAGGAAGAAATCTGAAGTTTAATCGATTGGTTGCATCCTATATATACTATCTATCGTCAATCAAACAAATTCTTATAGACATCAATTAGTAATTGATACAAATGATCCAAATCTTCTACAAGTATATCAATCAATAATAATCTTTCTCAAAACCCCAGAAAAATAATATCAAAACTCCTTTAGATATCCTAAAGAAAAAATATCAAATCTTAATGAAAAACCAGAGACTCGAAGCAGTGAAGCCCATCCAACTCCGGCGCCCAGCGAGCACCAGAAACACTCTTGCTCCGGTGACAGTTGACGTCGGCGTTCTTGGTGGTATTATGCGTTACCTTCTTTTGATCATCTTGAATGGTAGAAACATGATTCTTGGTGTTAAAGAAACGCAAAGATTGGCACATGAATCCTGCAGATAAAGCGTCGAAGGAACTGAAGAGGGAATTCATGTTTGATGAATATGAAGTTACTAATTCAAGTTGTTTATGTTTGCAGAGATCTATGGGAGACGATGAATGAAGTTTGAATTGGTGGGAAGGTTTATAAAGGAGAAAAAAAAAGAGACTTGTAGTTTCCTTGGATATTTTTTCAACGCGTTGAATTATTAAAGTCTAAAGATGAAAGACGCCGTCTTTGAATTATTAAAGAGAGTACTTGCCATTGGCGCGTGTCAAGGTCGTTCACTCTTTCCTAATTTCTATTTAAATTTTTTTGATTTATACAAAAGTTTCAATTTATCATTTTGTATAACTATTTTTTATTTTCTGCAAATTTGAAAATATTACCAAGTATTGTTATTGAAAAATTTGTTAGCCATATGTTATTAGCATGTTTGTTTATGAGTCCTTTTGTCTTTAGCTCATTTGAGTTTGATTCTTTAGCTAATTATTTATTCTTTTCTTTTTGTTTTTAGCTCTAAGTCTTTCTAATGAAGAATTAACACTTTCTCTCTTTTAATATGAATATTGTTCTATTATCATGGTATGAGAGCTTGAAGCTTTGAAATGTTGATTGAAGGTTGTGTAGCAGTTATCTATGGCACGTATCGATTTGTTGTTGATGTTCGTCTGCTATTTTTGTTAGTTTGCTGTTTGATTTCCGCTTGTTCGATTTGCTGCTTGCGTTGGTTTATTGTTGTTCTTGTTCTTTGATTGCTTGTCTATTGTTATTGTTGTTCTTGTTATTATTGTTCTGTTGCCAACATGATTGGAAAACAATATTCTCTTCAGTTGATCAATACTCAATTAGAAGGAAAAAATTACACGTATTGGAGCTATGGTATGAAAAACTTCCTTCGTGGGAGAATATGTGAGGCTATGTCTTTGGGGTTAAAGCTAAACCTTCAGTGCCTCAAGCTGAGAATTTCGATTTGTTGGTTGATACTTGGGAAACTGATAACTCCAAAGTTACTACTTGGATTAACAATTATGTTACACATTCTATTGGTATGCAATTGGCTAAGTATGACACAACAAAAGATGTTTGGAGTCATTTGGTGAGACTGTATACCTAGTCCAACTTTGCTAAATAATATGAGTTAGAATATGATATTCGTCCCCTTCAACAAAATGATACGAGCCTTCAAGATTTCTATGCTTCTATGTCTTATTTGTGGGATCAATTGGTTCTTACTGAATCTAAAGAATTAAAAGATTTTGAGCCTTATATTGCTATGAGGGAAGAACAACATTTGGTCTAGTTTTTAATGACATTGCGTTCTAAGTTTGAAGTCCTACGTGGAACGATTCTTCATTGTTCCCCTTTCCCCCAGTGGATTCTGTTGTTCATAAACTAATTTTAGAGGAGACTCGTATTAAATCTCATGCGGATAAAGGGTCTGGAGTAACTACCACTCCCACTTCCACTACTGTTATGTTTGTTGTTACCACTAATCAGTCTCGACAAGCTCCAATGCTTTCTAATGATGAGTGTGCCTTCTGCAATAAGAAAAATCATTAAAAGTTGAGTGTCTAATGTTAGTTAACAAGGATAAATCTGGTCAGCCTCAACATGGACAACAACATAGATATGGTCAACAGAAGTTCGAGTCACATTCCTCTGGTGGTGCTCCTCCATGGACACGTCGCCCTCCATAATTTGCTGCTGATACTGCACCATCAATTGGCACTAAATCTATCGGCAACATGCCACCTTCCGCATTGGATCCTAAGGTTTTTAAAAGTTTCAGACAATATTAGGCCTCTAATCCTACTGCTATTTGTCACACCCCCAAACCGGAACGGCGGAAACGTTCAGGGGTGGAGGACGTCATGTACAATATCACAACAATTGCATCATAGTAATCTAAAAGAGATTCTAGCATCAAAACCATCCAAAAAGGTCGGTTCTTTATGGACATGCATGTCCAATGCATGTCTTGAACCCAAAATAGGTCAAAAAGGGGAAGTTATGACCTAATCTCTATTCATGGCATCAAAACTTGGCTAAAGACTATATCCAAGCCACTACAAGGTCACCTTGACCCGGAGATTCATAAAGTTGCAAACTTTATGAGATTCATCCATTGCAACATCCAATAATAATGAGAAAAAGGAACAAAACTCAAGATCTAGCAACATAGAGGAATACAAATCGGATCTTGGACACTTACAAAGGTCCAGAAGAGTGCCAAACTGAAAGATGAGGGCTTGTTTGATGGACCCTTGCTTCCTTCTTCCAACTTCCAACTTCTTTCTTCTTTGGATCCAAAAACACCACTCTAGCTCACAAATGAGAGGGAAAGATGATTAGGGTTCTCAAGGGTCGATATAGGAAAATGGAGGCTGATAAAATACTAGCCCTAGGGACTTAAGGAGATTATATAGGGTGCAAAACCCTAAAAACTAGGGTTTTCTCATCCAGCCGCCAACACGCCGTGTTGGTCCATAAAAATGCGTGGCCCAAACTTTCCTCAACACGACGTGGTGAGGCTTCACCACGCCGTGTTCTAAAGGAAAAACATGTATAAATGGAATAAATCTCATACTTGGGAATCGGGATGTTACAAGATGCCATTGATGAAGGACTGGTAAGGAAAGAACAATGCGAACAGTTGAGGATTTTACTACTGAGATGAACGTATGAGAGTAGTCAAGACCTAGGATTTGAGTGAAACTTTAAGCAACTAAGCGTGCTTTGTGGCGTTCAATTGAACCATCCGATTTAAATTTGGTACGGTAAACCTACTTGGAGCCGACAACATTGGAATCATGGGGTTTGGGAACAAGTTTCCAAGTGTGATTTTGATGTAAGGCTTCAATCTCGTCATGCATTACTGGTAACCAATGTGGATGCTTCATGGCAGATTTGAACCCTCGTGGTGGAGTAGTAGAGATTAATGCGGCATGTAACGCATGTTAAGTAAGTGAAGAAAAATCAGGAAAGTGTTTGGTTTTAATAATACCTGATTTGAGGCGTGGTTGCATGGGATGAGATGAAGCGGGCTCAACACGTGGATTATTTGGAATATTGGGCTCTAAACCGGAGAGTGCACATCATCATTATCATCATCAGAGGATGGAGGGCACGAGTGATCTGAGTCTGATGATGGAGGATCATGAGGAATGGAGATCGATGGTGCATCAGATGGGAAACAAAGCCCACATGGGTCAACATTGGTAGTGGGCCGCTTATCATTGGGATGTGAAGTGTCAGCGAACTGTGGGGCGATACTGGCTTGATGATCATTAGGTGGAGGCGGTTGAATAGGTGATCCATCATCTAAAAAGGAGAATAATTTAAGAGTATCAAGATCTATAGAAGTTTTAGAACTTGAAAAAGGGAATATAAGCTCATCGAATCGTGCATGGCGGGTTATATAAATACGCGAGGTTTCCAGATCAAGACACTTGTACCCTTTATAGTGGGGATTGTACCCAATAAAGATACATGCTATACTTCATAGAGTTAATTTGTATGCACTGTAATCACGAAGGTATGGATATACCAAACATCTAAATGCTCTTAAATTCGTATAAATATGTAACCTTGAGTATAGAAGCTCAAAAGGAGAATGATCATTTAGGACTTTTGTAGGCAACCAATTTATAATGTATGTGGCAGTACTAAAAGCATCAACCCAGTAAGATGCCGACACATGATCATGAAATAACACAGCTAGCCCAGTTTCAACATTGTGTCAGTGTTTACGTTCCGCACGCCCGTTTTGTTGAGGTGTATATGGGCAGGAAAGACAATGAAATGTACCATTGTCTTCAAAAAATTGGCGCACAGTGTGATTAACGAATTCCATGCCACCATCACTTTGGAAAACCTTGACTTTTCTGGAAAACTGAGTTCGCACAAGTGAGAGAAAAGCTTTTAAATCTGGATAGAAACCATTTTTTGTTTTTAAGGGGTAAAACCATGAAAAACGAGAATGGTCATCCACAAACACAACACAGTATAAATAACCATTAGATTCAACCAGTGCGGGTCCGCACAAATCACAATGAACAAGATCTAAAGGGTGTAAGGCACGTTTCTAATTTAATTCAAAAGATAATCATTGGCCTTTAGATAATTGACAAGGTTTGCAAATAACTGGTTTAGGCAAAACAGAAGTAACACGTAAAACACCAAGTTTGTGTAAAGATTTGATAACATCAAAAGAAACATGTCCAAAACGATTATGCCATTATTCAAAATAAGCTTTTTTGGAGACACCAGAAGTTGCCATCAAGGCCATTAGAGTGTCTCGAAGAAAATATAATCCATCTTCACATAGGCCTTGAGCTTTCACTTGTTTGCTTAAATTTCCTGTCCTAAATATGGAAAAATGGTTGAGAAAATAAGACGTCAACTGGGTGATCCATAGTAAGTTTGCTAATTGATAGGAGATTTTTGGTGAGCTTTGTAATAACCAGAACATCACGAAGTGTAAGTTTATTTGAGACCAAAGATTGACCTATATGTGAAACAGGTAAATTATTACCATTTCCAAAAGTAACACGCATATTACCCGAATGAGGAGCCGTATGTGATAGATTGTCAGGAGAGGGCGTCATATAAGCTTTAGGGCCAGAATCTACATACCAATCTGGATGTCCTTGATTGACATGTCATTGAGAGGTGAAAGCTTGGGCAATATTTGCGTCGGTTGTAGCAGCAGTGGAGGCATAGGTGTGAAGGGATGGATAGGATGAGGAATAGTGACCATTAGTTCTACACAACTGACAATGGGGTGGGAGCCTACCCCCACGGCCTCTGCCTCCAAACGAGTTACCCACATGTTTTCCTCCACGTGAAAAATGTTGATGTCGTCCCCTTGTAGAACCTGACCGTGTTTGTTGTTGAGAAAAGAAGGTGACATGTGGAGTAGAAGAGCCATGTAGCGACCGAAGGAACATCTCATGATTTTTAACCTGAGATAGTAGGTCTTGAAAAACAGGTGAGGGTTTTCTATTACGAATAGCAATGG